TTCGCACCCTTTCTCGTCTTCTTTTCCTTTTCTTTTTCTTCTTCTTCTTCTTCTTCTTCTAGGTCTTCTGCCTCTTCCCCTCGTCATATACTCCCGGTTATCACAAGTGAGTTCTGACGAGTTTTAAAGTTGTTCTCTTCTGCTTATTCTTTCCCTTTTTCGTATTCTTCTTGTTCATTTCTTCTCCCCTGGATTCTTCTATCCCTGGCTTATCCCATTCATCGCCTTTTCCACAGTTGTCTACAAAATACGTTGCAACGATGGAGACTACAACTACGTTGGAGAAACAGGGCACAAATTGCAGATACGCCTACGTGAACAGAAAGCAGCGATCCAGAGACTAAACCCAAACTCGCAGCTTTCAACACATATCGGAGAGGTTGGCCGCAACTTCGATATTCAGAGAGAGACCATCGTAGGCCAAGGAACCTCAAAAGTGGAAAGACTGACGCCTGAGTGGTGGTACTCAGACGCCAACTCCGTCAACGGGCACCTGGACCTTCCCGCGGCTTACAATGTCCTACGCCATTACGTGAGTAAAGGACAGAACATAGTCAAACTGGCATCCTTTATCATGGGGCGAAACACAACACCAACTGCCGTCAAGCTATGCCGAACTCCACACGCAAGGCCAAGCAGCGAACGGATAAAAATCGATCAGCTCATGGCCAATACGTATAGCCACAACTTCAAGTTGCTGATCGATAAAGGCACTTTACGTTTTGACTAAGGACAGCCGGCCCAGTTGTGCGAAACTTCAGCGAATCAACAAAACCATTTCGGTGAGCAAACCATGCTCTATGATTCTCATCCCCGAAGTCTGAATTCTGCAAACTTGAGAAGCGCGTATGTTTGCTTCTGAGCGGAAGCCGTCCATATCCACAGCATAGGTGACTGAGGCCTGGTCATCATTTGTATCACTGGTGAGGCTCCGACAAATTGGAGAGGTTGCCGCAAGACGATACAGCGCGCCCATCGATTCTCGGTCCCCGATCCCGGTCGCCCTATTGCTCTTAAACTGTCCGTTAGAGGGGTGCCGTGCAGCCGCAACAGAGACAGGATTGCCTTCACTGCCCAACGTAAACACCTTTTGAATCCAGTCAAGCAGCCTGTTTAACTCAAAGCCCTGAGAGTCTTTAGCAGGCAGAGCATCGGGCTACAAATGACACGAGTAATAATCAACGACTGGATTAAGTTTTTTTCCCTCGGAGTTTGTGCAAAATCAGGACACAGTGGAGGGGGGAGGGGGATGGAGCAGTGGATGCAACGGTGGAGTACAGCGCGCTTTTACCTTGGCAACGCGGCCATAAACCACAATAACCTTCGCCAACGGTCTGCTTGCGAGCAATTATCCCAATGAAAAGGCGTGCGTATGCATTGGGCAGGCGGGGGATTGAAAACTTTCAACTGGTGACCTGCAGCCCCCAACGCCCTGTCTTCCAAATCACAAAGGCCTCACTGGCAGGCTGGCTGGCTAGCAGGCTAGCAGACACGCTGACGCATGAATGATTTAAAAGAGGGTTGGCAAAGGTCTTTGTTTAAGTAGGGCGGAGTACTCACACATTCCACCCCCCACCCCACACCTGCTGCCCAAATCGTTTAACCCGTCTGCTGCAGCATCATCCCACTAAAGGAGTGTGTGTATAAAGGCAATGGGAGCTGGTGAGCTGCTCTGTCTGCTCCGTAAGGAAAAGATGGGCATATTGTTGTCCAACCCAAATGATCTATTTCGCAGGACCCTGACACTCAGCTCAGTACTGTCCACCTTCAGCAGAACGCTGCAGCAAGAAGCAAAAAGGTATTCTTCTGAAGTTACGCGGGGAGGGGGGAGGGAAAGCCTACTAGGTATTATCCTACGGCGCTTTTAGACATCAATCATGATCGGGAAAATTGCAGAACCATTATTAGGGACATTTTCGAATATAAACAAAAAGTGTCCGCGAAAATTCGCACCTCGACGCATGAGACAACAGGAGTCAAGGAAAATGGACTTAGGCAGTGACAATCAGACTTCCAAACCATACACTTCGCGAAACCTTTCTTACAGCAAAACATGTCTGAAATCATTGAAAGACAGCTAAGGAAGCATAACACAAGCTAACGACGATTTTACGCAGCCAACTGGTACACCCCAAGGATGGGGTTAACTGTTTGGATAAGAAAGAAGTTATAAACAAGATCCCGTATAGAAAGTGTGATACCGTTGATTGTGGTCAGACGGGAAATTCCGCCTCTATGCGCATTCACGAACATCAGTTAGCAGTAAAAAGATGAGACTACCATGCACACCCTAGATACCGGGCACACCTTCGCCTAGGACAAAACCCGTAGTGTCGGTGCCTGTCCTTTCAAAAAAGGCCGAGAACTCCTCGAGTCATGCATCAAAAAGCACATCGAGCTCGATGGTGTGTTCAAAAGGCTCAAGAAGAAATGGGCCCGACGCGAGCCAATGCGAACGGGATGAGAAACATGGCAACAGCCAACTGGCGCAAACGCGACGCCACGCCACGACATTATCGATTTTCCCATTCGCTCGCGATGTTAGCTGTTTTTTTGAACTTTCACTTTATTATGAGTCCGAAGGCGAGTTAGGGCTCCAGTCTCGAAAATTTGCCCAATAAACCCTATTTCCCAAAGAACGCCTTCGACTTCAAATTATATTTCTTGGACCGCCGTCCTTTCAATAAAAAAGTGTTTGTACGCTGAGGCTGCACAAATGATCCGGAGAGACAGCATTTCCACGTTGACGTCTACAAGAGTATTTTGCCATCCGGATTACTGACAGGCTGAAATGCTAAATCATAGCTTTCATCAGAAACATCAGTAAGGATGATTTAGCTAGCCGCCTAACCAGACCACGGAAACAAGAGATACCCAGAGTGCATAGGGTTTTGCGCCCAAATGTCCGAAGAAATTAGGTTTGAGTCGAAGGGGGAGGGGGGGGGGACTAGGATAAAGTTTAGGGTTGGGCTTAATGTTGGGTTCAGAGTCAGGAGTATTTTAAAGGCAAAAAGGTTAGGGTTGGGGTCAATTCCAGGTTTTAATTTTAAGGTCGGGCTAGGTTTAAAATTAAAGCTGCACTGCAATTTTTATGTTAGCGTTGGTGATGGGGTTAGAACAGGAGGATATTAACCTTTCCTGACATGTATCGTAAGGCTGCCTGTTTTAAGTGGACTAGGCGGCACCAGTTCCCATGTACTGTTTAGCGGACATACTAGGTATTATTATCAAAACAGTACTTGAGTTGGACCTCAGAATTGGTTACAGTAGGGTGCAATACCCCGGGAAGTTTATACGTGTGGGCATACCGGTTTCTGGGTGAACAGGCTTCCAGTTGTCTGGAACAAGTGTACCTGCCGCAAAATGGCTTCTCCCGGTCGACAGCCGATCTCATGAAATGTCCAACGAAATTTGGTAATGCCTTTTCAATTAGAAAGACTGCCTATTTTAAGTGGACTGAGCGGCAACTGTGTCCGTTTCCCGTTTGACAGCTGTACTAGCTATACCTGCCAAAATATTATTTGAGTGGGTCCCCAGCACCGGTATTTAACTGGACTACGGCAAATCACAGTATTCAGAAAAGCCATATGCGCGAAGCAAGTAATAAACTTCAACAGCAGTTAAGCCCTGTCTCATTAACGTAGCTGCGTTCGTATGTCTTCTTACAAAGAGTGTAAACACATTGCACCACACTAGCTAACAGAACAGCTGAACAATAATACATTCGTGACCTCTTCCGAGCTAATAGATACCCGAACTCCATTATCAAACAAAGCGATCGCCGAGTGAATAAACAAAGACCAAAAGAACAGCACGACTAAGTCTGCAGGGCCATTACCTATAGAAAAAGGTGTCCACGAAGCCGTCTCTCGACTGTTACAACCCGCTAGAGTAGGCACAGTCCATCGACCTCGCCGTTTGATGCAACCTAAAGATAGGTTGCTCCCTACTGAAACCTTCGCAGTTGTCTAAATGATACACTGCAACGATGGGGAATGCAAGTACGCTGGAGAAACAGGGCGAAAATTGCAGACCTGCTCGTACGAACACAAACTAGCGGCTCGGAGAGCGGACCCAAACTCGCAGCTTGTAACACATATCGGAGAGACTGGCGATAATCGCAGGCCGAGAAGTCTCAAAAGCGGAACGGCTGACGCTTAAGGCATAGTAATCAGATGCCAACTCCGTCCCCAGGCATCTAGACCTTCCCGCTGTCTACAAAGTCTTTAGCCATTACAGACAAGAAAAGGTCAAAGTCAACCTAAGGATTGCAAGCAAAGACGACCTCGCGACGAACTCGTCAGAAGGGAAAGCAGGATTACCAGCATCTTCTACCGTAGAGACGAAGCGAAACACTAACTGCCGTCAACCTATGCCGAAATCCACACAAGGAGCAAGGCAGTGAGCGAGGGAAAAATGATCAATCCACGGCAGACACGTTCAGCCACAAATTCCCACTGCTGATCTATAATGGCCGTTAACGCTTTGACAAAGGAGAACCGACCCAGATCTCTTAAGCATTAGCGAACACAAAAAGTAATCCCGGTGAGCGCTAACATGATCTCTGGTAGCGGCTTCCGGATAAGCAGTCTTCCTACTGCCTGTAATAAGTGTACCTACTGTAAGATTGCTGCTTCCGGCCGACAACTGATCTCAAGAAATGTAGACCGACATTTGCCAATGAGTTTTCAATTAGGAGAGCTTACTTAAGTGCGATTGTTATTTAGCGTGTCGTGCCCGTAAACTTTAACTTGCAAATAGAATACCGCGCTGCGCAAGGGGGATTTATTGGAGAAGTAAGGCAGGAACAAACTATCAACCCGGCTCTCTCAATTTTGCCATCTGGGGGTTGATTTATTAACAAACAGCAGCAACAACAACAAGTGCACGTCTGTAATTCCGGTCAAACTAAAGTCATGGGAAAAGAAAAACCGGTTGGCCAAACAAATATTTATCCGTCTAAACACCACTCAAATTAATATAAAAGCAAACATTTCTCCCTAATTAAACTCTTCAGTCTACATCTTAATACAAATTGTTGCGGCAGAGAGCGTTAGAGAGGAAGGCTCCGAGGAAAGAATTTCCGTTCCGGAGAAGTTAAAACGCCCTTAAAGTAAATTCAAAAGGGGAAGCAACTAATGACAAGGCAGCCGACAAATTAGTTAAGACGCGCCTGATTAACAGTGACACGCGAATGGATGTGGCTAAAATTCAGGCCACCATGCTCTGAGAAGCATGTGTGAAGCACTCTATAATCTTCAGTAGACCGACTTATCAGAAAACCGCCATCAAGGGCGCTTTTTGCGTAACAGAAGATCTTGGTTGTCGCCATGCGCTATGCAGGTAGATCAACAGGTTTTAAGTTCATGACTTAATTCATAGCAGAATGCATTCTGAGGGAATACTTGCCCTTATAACGAAGTAAAGTCCAGGGATGTGAGAGGGCTAAAAAATGCAGCCTGCGCAAACCTCGTTACAAGATGTCAAATGCATTTACTATACCTCCATTTTCTACGTTGTAGGAGCGATTTGTAGCATAATAATGACCGGAAACATTTAACGAACACGAGAGTGACATTAACTGATTTGTCATGTTTGCAGGGTGGAAACAGACATTTCCGTTTCTGCTGATAATACTTCTCGATGACCGGCTGACAGTCGCTAACAGGATAGACCATATAGACTTCCTGTCCGGGTATGCTGATCAAACATGTGGCAGGCCGTTGTAAGCAATATCGTTTCTATCAAAAATAAGCTAAGTAGCTGTAAAACATCCCTGAAATAGGCCCCTTTACCACTAGGGCATGCAAGGCATAGTAGTCACAGGCACGGCTCCATATAACCTAGAGAAAAAAATATTTGCTCAGGTCTAAAAGTACCACGGTTTTGATCCTTAGGGTTTGCAAAGCGTGGGACTGGCCAGGATAGCTGGCTGATGAGGACTACTGAGTCAGCAATGACCATTCTAATCTCTGTTGCCTTTGTCGGTGACGCTTTTCTGCCTATGAGGAGAAAACCAGGACAAGCACTGATGTGCTCCGAGCTCTAAACATATACTCTACTGAGAATAGCAAAGATCCAGGTCCACACTCCTATGTGAGATCAAGCGAACACGCTCCCAGTCCTGACACCAATCAGTGTCACTTCTGAAAAAAATATCATCAATACTACTGTTAATCAGATACACCGGTAGAAGCAGCAGTATAAACAGTAGTTGCAGTGGTAGAAATAGGAAGCCCGGGAGCCTCAAATATTTCTGGGCACCTACTCTGGATGAGTGAGTGTAAATAGTGATATATTACCAGCGCAAATGGCTACTGTAGCACCATTTGACATGGCAAAACCTGTGATATCAATTAATAACGTCTCGTTAACAATAAGGTAACGCAGCCTTATGGATAGAGTTGAGAGGGCAGGAACCAAGGGAAACCCTGACGTGCTATTACCACCACTATAATGTTAGGCAATTCCAATCTCTGTTCCCTCTGTCCGTGACGCTATTCCGCCTATGATACTAGCCACGGCAAGTGCATATTCCTTTCTTTTATATTTATGCAAATGAAGGAGACATGCAGTATGACCCAACTGTTGACTAATGCATAGTAAAAAGCATGTAGTATCTTTACTACTATCATTCAGTTGCATCGCTATTGAGCAATCGTAGAAATAGTAGCAGTATTAGCAGCACGACACCTTTTATTGGACTGATTCTGTTGCAAACCTGAGAGCGAGATCGATTAGGTCAAAAAGTCTGTAATTGGACAGCACCAAACAATGAGACCGAGATCTGAAGTTTTCCTGGCCTCAGTTCCTAATGTAGGAAGCTCATCTCATACTATAACCATATATATACACACAAAAAGGTTACCTAAAATGTGAGTAATATCGGGGCTCCTTTAATTGGACTGTTTCTATTGCACTTGCATTACAACATACTATTATTGTTATTTAGTCGGTACGGCTACTCATATTAACAATCTTTGGATTGCCAATCACACACAGGCCGTGTTATTGTATACTATATACGGCTCTTGCGAAGAATGATTACTAGAATAAGGACTATAGCATAGGCACTTTGCGTCTAGCGGCAGTATCCTACTCCTTGTAGCCCAAACCTAGCAGAATCTGACACAGTCTGGTGGATAGAGTTGAGAAGATGGAAACCAAGGAAGTCCTGATATGCTCCAGGCTTCAAACCCGTATTTATTCGGAATAGTATAAAGCCAGATTCACACTCACTTTTGAGCTCGAGGGGTATGAGCTCTAGCGGTAATTTTTGATCAGCGTCACTTCTGACTAATATTAGCGTCAGAAATATTGTCAGTACTACTATCATTCAGCTCTATTGCCAGTTAACAGTAGTACAAGATAGGAGAAGCAGTATCAGTCTCGGTCTCCTTGAACCTGCATTGACACCTAATGAAGGTGAGTGCGGGTAGGTAGTTCGGTAGTACCCGCGCAAAGTCTACTCTCACTCAAAACTAAGTTAGGCGGTGTAATCCCGAAATTCTGACCTTTGCAAACTTGAGAAATGAGACAGTCTGGTCATGGTAGCTGAAGGTGGGAGATGAAAGCGTAACTGATCCCCTTCAAAGTTCTCCTCCTCTACAAGTATACCAGCTTAGCACCACGTCACAAATAATTTACCGTTGCGTTTTAAGCGTGTGGTGGTTCTGCTTTCACAACCAACATTTTGAACTATTCACAACGAACGACGTGCAGACCAGCGAACAATTATTTTCAACAAGCAATTGTTCGTACTACGCTGGGTTACATAACCAATCTCCAGTCTTGTCTTTCGTTAGGCTGTGTTTGTGGGACCAGAAGGTCGGTAGGGCATGCTTGGTAAAACCTGAAAACCACACATCGAAAAAAATACGTGTCGCTCGCTCGCCGGAGGAACCGGTCCAATGCTGTAACACCGAGTAGACCACTAGCCCGACAGCCAGCAGGGAATGCAGAACAGCGGACTTACTTGAATGCTCTCAAACGAATGACTCATCATGGCGATCAGCATGTTCACCAGGACGATGATGATGATGCCATGGTAGACTGCAACCAGGACCATGCCCACGCTGTCGACCACGACCGTGGTAGAGTCTGTGTCGATCATTCCGTCAGAGTACTTGTGTTCGGGAAGGTCTATCGGGGGGGGGGAGGGGCACAGACGGAAGAAAGTTTGCATTAGGCAAGTTTCTAGAAGTAGGTCAAACAAGTTCTCAGCTTCAAAAATTTGCTGTTTGACACAACTGAGAGGAGTCCAGTTCATCAACGGGGTCCCTAACTTTCCGTGTTATTTTTTCTGCTTGATATATCGGTTTTGAAGTTTCAGTTTTCTTTTTAGTTTTCTTAGAAATACATTAATGTGCTCGATATCTATGTATACATGAAATAGATCCGACAAAGCAAAGGGAGACCGGAATGGCCATTTCTGGCTTGTAAGCCATCATTAGCCAGTCATACCCAATCTCACGTTATGAGCTCTTGGACAAAGCAGAACTTAATTGTTCCTCTACCGGATCGGCGAAGCACATATATTTATCGTATTCCCGATCTCAACCGACAAAGCAAGGAACCCGTGGACTAGAAGTAGAGTATTGAACTCAATGACCAAAGGTCCGAAACTCAAATCTCGGGGGTTCCAACCCTTGATATTGGGTATGACTGGCTGATG